TTTTTTTATTCATCATTATCAACATCATCCCCAACAACATCAACAACATCATCAAACATCGACATCAAAATCAACCAATTTTTTTTTTTTTTTTTTTTTTTGGTTCTCTCAGTTTGGATTGACTTTTTTTCTTTCGACGTTCGGAAGATTCGACGATTGTGTTTGTGTTTGTGTGGAGGATAACAAAAATGACCACTAGCACTATCGAATGAAAAAAAAATGATTGTTGTTTTTTTTCCACTACCACCACTACTATTCTTCGATTCAGTCAGACATTTTGTCATCATTTGAAACAGTGAAAAGAGAGAAAGAATGAGAATGATGAGTGGATCGAGGAGGATGAACGTATATATATTGTGTGTGTGTGAGTGTGCTCATCATCAGTTCAATTTAATGCTACTACCATTTTTTTTTTTTTGAAAATTTTTTTTTGATGAATTCATAAAGGACGTTTTTTTAAAATTGTTTGTAAATATTCTTTTCTGTAATTTCGAATATAATTTCAAATTTTTCAAAAATCAATTGTTGTTTCATATTTAATATCCCGGTTTTGATTGGAATGTATTCGGTAATTTCTCTTTTTTCGGTAATGAATTTCCATTTGTATTAATTATCTTGTTCGATTAATGAAATAGTTTGTTTTTCCACGGGAAAAAATATAGCATCTTCATCATTCAGATATTCTTTGGTCATCTCATCATCATTAGATTAGATTGAAAAGATTCGCTAGCAAGGTAAGTTTTTAATGTTTACTTTTGATGTGAGAGTAGACGTATTTTAGGATACCATGTTAGATAACAAGCGAAAAAAAATTGGGAAACTCTCGCGCGCTATGATCATTACAATATTCTGGTGTATCCACACCATTTACCACTACAACATTTTTTTTTGTTGATGAATGATGGCGCGAGCCATGCATGCATTTATAACCAAAAAAAAAGGGTGGCCTTTTTTCCCTTAAATATATAATGGGAAAAAATTCTATCTAAACATTGTTTGCCATCTAGTGATAACCAATTGAAAAGATTTGATTAGCGAATTTTACAGAATAAAAAGAATCTCTTCGGTATCGATGTTCAAATAAATTCTGTTCAGTTTTTGTTAGATATATAACTTCTATCGCCACCATCTAGTGGTTGATATCGATAATGATGATTTGGTTTTAGTTTTAGTTTTTTCATTCAAAAAAAGAAAAAAATCTCACGATATTTGAATGGATCATTCCAAATGAAAACCAGTCTATCATCAAATGCAAACATCCATTACACACACACACCGAATATATTCGGTATTTCGATTCTTTCCCACGATTTTTTCCTCTGAAAAAATAACATTCGAAAAACGCGTGCGCATTTGAAAGCAGAGAAAAAAATTTCCCGTTATAATCGATTTTTGTTTCTGTTTTTTTTTGAATGAAAATTTTTAGATTTTCTTTTGGCAGAAAGAGGACAACAACAACAACAACAANAGGTAAGTTTTTAATGTTTACTTTTGATGTGAGAGTAGACGTATTTAGGATACCATGTTAGATAACAAGCAAAAAAAAAAAATTGGGAAACTCTCGCGCGCTATGATCATTACAATATTCTGGTGTATCCACACCATTTACCACTACAACATTTTTTTTTTGTTGATGAATGATGGCGCGAGCCATGCATGCATTTATAACAAAAAAAAAAGGGTGGCCTTTTTTTCCCTTAAATATAATGAGGGTAAAATTATTTCCAAATATTGTTTGCCATCTAGTGATAACCAATTGAAAAGATTTGATGAGAATTTTATTACAGAATAAAAAGAATCTCTTCGGTATCGATGTTGAAATAAATTCTGTTCAGTTTTTTTCCGATATATAACTTCTACCGCCACCATCTAGTGGTTGATATCGACGATAATGATGATTAGTTTTTCATTCAAAAAAAAAAAATCTCACGATATTTGAATGGATCATTCCAAATGAAAAAAACCTTACAACAAAACAAAACCAGTCCATTATCAAATGCAAACATCCATTACACACGTACGTACATCGATTCTTTCCCACGATTTTTGTTTTTCGTTTGATATTTTTACAGAATTTTTTTTTCTGAAAAATAACATTCGAAAAACGCGTGCGCATTTGAAAGAAAGAAAAAAAATTTTCCCGTTATAATCGATTTTTGTTTCTGTTTTTTTTTTGAATGAAAATTTTAGATTTTCTTTTGGCAGAAAGAGGACAACAACAACAACAACAAAAATGAAAAAGCCGTAAAGGGATTTGGCGCCAAATAATGTTTTGTTATTATGGTTTGACATTTAAACACCAAAAAAATCTTTGAATTTCAAGGATAATTTTTCCGGAAATTCAAAACCGAAACAAAAATTCCCATTTGTTTCCAAACACACTGGCATCTTATTCATCATCAATATTTTTCTCTTGATTCACACACCAATATTCTTTGTTATCTCCCTACACACACACACGCCAAAATAAAAAACAAAAATTGAATTGAAATAAAAAATACAAACAAGAAATCCAAATAAATAAATAAATACAGCACATGCGTTCGACACACACACACACACAAATGAAAATAACTATTTTTTTTTGAATGTAAAAAAAAACTTTTTTTTTTATATTTTTTTTTGAAAGAAATAATATTTTTGTGTGTGTGTTTTTGGTGTGTGTAAATTGTGTGTGTGTGTTTTTGGTGTGTGTGGGATCGCCATGATCCTCCACATTCAAAAAGAAAAAAAAAAGTATGGCGTTTTTTTTTCTCCTTCTTTTTCCTATCTTTGGTGTGAGTGTGTGTTTGGTGTGTGTGTGTGTGTGTTGTTTGTGTGTGTATATATCTCTCTTTTGTAATAATAAAAATGCAGAGTGTGTGTGTGTTTGCGTGTGTGTGTAATACAGTGGTATCTCGATTATGGATGTTTAATAATGAAAAAAATTTGATTGGGAAAAATGAGAATTCTGTGTTAAGGATTTTTATTGATGTCATAAGGGTGATTAGAGATTTTTTTTTTTGAATTTGAAAAATTTAGAATGAATTTATACCTTACAAGTTATACATTTGTAATAGGTAATTACAAAAATGTGTGTATGTATAAAATTGGTATGATCGGTAATCAATAGAAATCTGGAAAAGTAATTTCCTTTACTTTTTTTTTAAATTGAAGCTTTTGTTGGTTTTACTAAGATTTTGGAATTATGATTTTTAGGCACCCAAATATTATTTTTTCATTTCAAAAACGAGTTGCCACTGTAATATATGTTTGTGTGTTTGTATTTTTTTTTTCTTCTTTTTTTTTGTGTGTGTGTGTGTGTGTTTCATATATGAATGCTGTGAGTATTGTGAGTGTGTGTTGGTGTAAGTGTGTATATTTGGTGTGTGTGTGTGTCTTGTTTGTTATATTCAAAGTTTTATTTTTTGTTTTGTTTTCATATCATTTTGATATAATATATTTTTGGTTCAATATTTTTCGTTTCATTTTGTCTGGTTCCAAAAGATCCATCAAATGAAAACATAGAGAAACAACAAGAAAAATTCTACTTACCTTGATTCTGTTTATGTTTGTCTGTTTTGTTTCGACAGTCTTTTTTTTTGTTTTTCATTCCCAAAAAATAATTTCAAATGACTACTCATCAACCGAATTCAAATCATCATCATCATCAACAACAACAACATCATCAAACGATTCAAAATTCAAAATCAACATTGAATAATAATAATAAAAATCGTAATCATCATCATAATCAAAAATTATCATCATCATCACCTATGGTGTTCAATAATAATAATCAAAAGATTAAATCAAAAACATCATCAACAACAACAACAACATTAGGTTAGTTTCGATTGATTGATTGATTAATGATTTTTCGGATTTATTCATTACTTTTTGATTGAAATAATTTTGGCGCTAATTTGATGTTTTGACATGTTTATCGAGAATCGAATGTTTATCAATTCGACAAAAAAATGCGACCTCTTCATAAATGTTGTGTTCCGTTTTGCGTTTTTTTTGAAAATTCAATTTTGTCACACCTTTCTTATTTGTAATTTTTTTTCCAGTTAATAATCAATCCGGTTTTCGATCATCGACAATACCAACAACATCATCCACAACAATACCATCATCCACAACAATACCATTGGATGCGGCAGCATCATTTGATCATTTAGTTGCATCAACATTATCAACAGCAAACGGAATGAAAAATATTGAACATTTTATTGATAAAACATTAATCGATGGTAAACAATGGTATTGTTGTAATTGGCAAAATTGTTCATATCGAACAATACGTTCGGATTCAATTGTTAGACATTCAAGAAAACGTAAGTGATTTTTACGTAATCAATAAAGATTAATAATTATTGATTTGATCGACATTTCTTCATTCTTTAGATACGGGAGAACGTCCATATAAATGTTGGTTTTGTTCATATGCAACAATACAATCATCAGGTAAATTCTCTTTGATTGAAAAAATTGATTTTCAAATTAATTTTCATTATCATTTTAGCATTGAAAATACATATACGTCGTCATACCGGTGAAAAACCATATGTATGTAAATTTAGTGGATGCGGTAAACGTTTTGCTGTGCTCAATACATTAGTCGTACATGAACGTACACATACCGGTTATAAACCATTTAAATGTTCATTTTCATCAACATGTAATTATTCAAGTAGTGATCGTTGTAAATTAGTTGGTCATATGCGTCGATCACATCAATTAGATTTGGATTCAAATTCAATTAGTACATCATTAACAACAACGAATCGTAAAACAATTAATATAAATAATTTACAACAACAACAACAACAATCATCGTCATCTGGTCATACAAATCATAATAATAACAATAATAATCATCATCAATCTCAACTTCATAATAATAATAATAATAATAGATCAACAGGATTATCGGCAATTTTTTCCAATGTTGTTGCTGGTAATGGTCAAAATTCTACAAATATTGTTAATAATAATAATTTATCTGGTAGTTCATCAAATTCATTAGCACTTGTTTCTGGTGCAATGTCATCAACACAATTATTAATGGCACATCATAATTCAAATACTCATCATCATTCTTCACATCTTTCTAATCAACATTCTTCTCATCATAATCATCAAACAAATCATTCTCATCATCATCCTCATCAAGGTGTTTATAATCCATTTACAGCAACAACAATACATTCAGCACAGAATACAACAGCAACCGGCAATCATCATCATCATCATCCAAATCATTCATCAATGATGAATCAATTTCAAACAAAATCATCATTATCATCTGAATCGACAACATCAACAACGGTTGCATCATCAGCTATAGCAGCAGCAGCAGCTGCTGCTGCTGCTGCATCACAAACAATTTCAACAACATTTGTACCATTAAATCTTCTACAAAGTGTTATATCGAATGCTGGAAATTATGAAAATCTTCAAAGTAATTATTATCTTCTTTTTTTTCAAATTATTTTTTTCCCCAAAAAAAATCCATATTTCTTTGTTCTGTTTTTTTCCAAAAAATAAAAGAAAAGAAAATTCAATCGGGAGAAAAAATCAAATAAAAGAAGAGAAGGAGGATGAGATATATAGGGATTAAAAAAAATTTGATTTGTTATGATTTTCTATTCTTTCTTTCTCCCTTTGTGTGTGTTGTGTGTGATTTATCATTCTTTTTCAACTTTTAACCTTAACCTAACCATCCTATCCACCTACCTGTTTTTGTTTTCATAATAACCCTTTTGATTCCTTTTCCTCATAATGTTATCCGTTCTTTTTCTATACTACCCAACCTACTTACAATAAAAAAGCACATTTTTCATCATCATCAAAATGCTGATAACATAAAAATTACACCCACGCATACACCTACGTCTACCTTGAATAATGAAAATTATGTTCGGATCCACTCTATTTTCATTTTTTTTTCATCCATCCTTCCTTCTTTTAGTCCCGATGAAAAAAAAGAAAATTTTCTTTAAAAATACAAATTTTTCTATTTTATTTTTCTTTTCTATTTTTTGTTTTGATCAGAATACTTTTGATTAATCTTCCAAACTCTCTACTCTCTATCATTCATTCATAACTTATATGTTCAAAACAAAAACTATAGGCACAAATATGACGTATGCGACGAATATTGGTCATCCTAATTATCAGCAGCAGCAGCAACAACAACAACAACAACAAAAATCAAATAATCGATCATCATCATCGTCGAAAAGATCTCGCAAAACCAATGATAGCAATAATAATAATCAACAACAACAACAATCATACCTTGTCAATCTGGATACAAATCAAACATCAACAACAACAACCAAATCGATGAAAAAAAAATCAAATAATGATGTTGGCAGAGAAGAGAATAGTATAAAACGTTTAAATTGGTTTGAAAAACGTTTTATCGATAATCAATCCATTTATATTTGTCAATGGCCAGATTGTCAATATTCAACAATCCGATCTGATTCGATTGTTCGTCATATTCGTTCACGTAAGTTTTTTTGATTTGTATTTTTTTTCCTGAAAAAATTTTAATTTTTAAATTTTTTTATTTCAATTAAAGATACCGGTGAACGTCCTTATAAATGTCATCTTTGTGTTTATAGTACAATACAAAGCAGTAGTCTGAAAAAACATTTGGCTCGACATGTTTAAAACAAAAAAAAAAGAGATTTTGTCACATGAATTATACTATCTATAATTATATTTATAATGATATTTAATATATTTAAAAAAAAAAATAAATTTTTTTCAATCATTTTATAAAATTAATTAATGTTACACATTTATTTTATTTAAAAATAATTTTCTGTTTTTTAAAAAAAAAATCAAATTATTTAACATAGAAAATTTTTATCAAATCAACAAAATTATCTCAGGTAAATTATTTAAAATATTGAATGGAATTTTTTTTTTCCTTCGGTGTGAAAAACAACAAACAAAAATTTTCAGTAATAAAAATATCAAGTTGAATCTTTGGAAAACTTTTTTTTTGTTTGAAGAAAAAAAATTGTAAAATTTCAATTTTTTTCCATAACAGACCAGAGTTTGGTTTTTTGGCATTAAAAAAAATAAAATAAAATTTGATAATGACGAAAAAGAATTGTTTGTTTTTTTTTGGCTAGACAATCATCATTAATGGTTGACGTTTAGAATTCAAAAATAATTTCCATGGCCATTCGAATGAATTTACAATCTGTATATGATGATGAATAGTATTTTTTTCAAAATATTCAAATATTGTATACCACCATGTATTCAATGGATTTCGTTGTATTTGACAGTGTTGTTGTTGTTGTTGTTGATAGATAAATGATTCATCGGATGTTATTGGACGATGATTATTAGTGGAGCTAGAATCAGCTTTGATAACAATCGATGTATCATCTGTTGATTGATGATGATGATTGAAAGGATTTTGTTCAAAATGTTGTTTCATCGATTGTTGTTGTTGATGATAACGGTGATGATTATGATGAATGATAGCATAATGGCATAATACATGATAAATATAAAATATCAATTTACTAATAACAATAGCTAGAACAATATCGACCATATAATGTCCTCTTGCAATTAGTATGGCAATAATTCCAATGATAACCATTAGATGGTAACCATATTTGATAAATTTAAAATAAATAGGACGACGATCAGATAGCCAATAATAGACAAGAAATAGATCAGCTTTATTTTTTTTAGTAGAAAAAATATATGTTAGGAATAAAGTAATCGATAAAAATACTCAATAATACTTACATGTAACAAGAATGACTGTATGACCTGAGAAAATAAAATCACCACAATATGTATGATGACCATTAACTGAAAGGCCCATACCAAGAGATAGATAAATGATACGCCATATAACTGTTTTAATTAATTCCCAAGTAGATGTTTCCTGTAGATTTAGTCTTGGTGAACAATAATAATCTTTATTCGATACAGGAACCTGTGTTACCGACATACAAATGGCACGAAAAATGTACAATAAACCAAGAATAATAAACAAACGTGAAATAATAATCCAACGATATCGATGACAAGCAATCATTAATAGGACGGATGTGCTCATAAACATTATTATATATTCAGATACGTTCAATGCCAAATCATATCTGGGTAACAAATCGAAAGCAATATCCGGTAATGTTGCCGCATCATATGGGACACGTTCATGTATGATTGCTATTAAATTTTTTAAAATAAAGAAAAATTATTAATTTTATCGATTATCATAATCAAACATTTGAATTATATAATGGATTACCTAAAACAGCCAAATTAAATATGACACCAATACAAAGAAATGAAAATGATGATAGGAATGTTGATAGATTGGCCCGAAATGTTAAAAGACTAGAATCGATCTTCATTAATGATGATGATGATGTAGATGTTGTAGATGATAATGATGTTGACATATTTGTTTCTTCCGTTTTAGCAGCCATTGATGGCGTTACTGATATTGAAATTTCTTTACAATTATTACTATTTTTATTATTTGTATTATTACAATAATTATTCACATTGCCAACATTATTGTTATTATTATTATTATTATTGATATGACCATTGGAAGTATTATTGTTATTGTTGTTGTTGGCCATCAAACGATATTTATCATTATCATTATCATGATTAATAACATTTATATGAGCACAATGATCAACACCGGTTTGTTCGTTGATTTTTGTATCATTCAATGATTGTTGTGAAATGTTAATGATTTTATGATGAATATTATCAAACAGATGATGTTGATGATGATCACAATGATTATTATGATGATGATGATTATTATTATTATTATAGCTACCACTATGATTGATGGCTACCGTATTTGTATTGCCATTCATCATCAACGATTTCATTGATTGATGGCGATTTTTTTCACTGTTGTTCTTATGATGATGATGATGATCATTTGAAATGGTAGTACCATTAAGCTGACCGTTAGAAATATCACCATTTCGATGATCGCCATTACCACCACCTCTTTCATCATCATTAAATTCATTAATTCGATAAATATCATTAGCCATCTTTCTTTCGGTCGATATCAATATGGGTTATTGATGAAATTCTTGGTGGTTTTTTTCAACAAAAATAAAAAACACAAACTTAATAATAAGCTCTGAAGTAAAAGATTGTCGGCTTTTTCTTCCTATCTTTCTCTCACTTTGGTTTGGCAGTCTATTTGTATGATTCAATTTTAACTTTGTTTTAAAGTAAGAAAAAAATTAATAAGAAGAAGAAAAAATTTCATTTCAAACTCAACGATGACTCTTGACGATGTTGATGATGTTGATGTTCAATTGGTTGATAAAAAAAATTTTTTCGTCTTCAATTTCTCACTATTTATTTATTCGGAAATGATGATGATGATGATGATGATATGGCAAGTGTTCTTAGGTAGATTATATTGATTAAATATATTTGAGTCCGTCGATGCATCTCAAATAATAATAATAACAATTAATATCAACAGGAATAAGGATCATCATCATTATCAAGTGTACATTTTAGCTATCATTTTAATGATAAAACAACAAGGATGGCGCCATGTATAAGAAATTGCATATTTGCTTGTTTGAAAAAAATTGTTTTTTTTTAAAGAACAACAAGAAAATTGATTACACCATACACAGATAGATTATTAGTCATCGATTATGAATTGAAATAATAATAATAATAAACAAAAAACAAGATGTGAACATCCGGAACACACACACGTTTACGATATTTGGATGAAAATAGCTCGAAAATCAATCGATATATTTATGAGGATGAGATGAGATCAATAATTTTTGATTTGATTTTGTTTGCTGGATAAAATAAATTAATCATAACAAAAAAAAATATATTTTTTCTCTTCAAATTTTGATTTATAATCTGATCCAAAAAAAAATAAAAAAACACAACACACGCAAACACTGAGGATATTGATATATACGGTAGATATGATCGCGTTATTGATTAGGATTTTTTTATGTGGCAGGAAAAAAATATTATTGACAATATTGATTATAATTCTATGATGAGTTTATTATTTGATGGAAAAAAAATAATCCTCCTATTTTTCGGAATTTTTGTTGTTATTGTTGTTGATATGCCATTTGTCTCGTTGTCAATGATGATAATGATGATGCTATCGGTGGTTATGATGTTGCAAGAGAGAGAGAGAGACAAAAAAATAATTTTTTTTTCTTTTTTCCCCCTCGTACACACACACACACTTAAATTATTTACAGTCACACATGGTTAATGGAACACAACTACTACCGTTATGTTTGGTTGTTGTTGTTGTTGATGATGATGATGATGATGTTATGAATAATCATTGATTAGATAAGACATCCGTGTATATAATGTGTGTGCATGTATAATTTAGATATATTTAGGATCACTGTTAATGGGATGGGAACGAAGAGAGAGAGGGAGAGAAAAAAAATTATCAATATTTTTTTTTTATTTATTTATTTTCGATTATAAACAGAGGATGAAAAAAAAGTAGTTCTGGTATGACATGTGATGGTATATGCCATACAGCAAAACAGCCAAAATACCACCGACACATTTATATATCAAACACAAAAATAGAAAAACAAGAAAAACGAACAAGATAAACTAAAAAAACTAGAAATTTATACAATTTATTGATTATAGGTATAGGTATGTGTATATATGTGTGTTTCGAAACAGAAATTATTACAAACAACAACAACAACAACAACAAAACGGGATATTTTGCAATGAACAGAAAAAAAAATCCCGTTTCAAATTGAAAAAAAAACACTAAACACAATTTCTAGGTTCAGTCAAGATTTGTTCGGATATGATTATGCAATGAATTTGTATAATATCTTGTAAATGGCTTGTTTGAATGGAAAATTTTTTTTCAAATTCAAAAAGAAAAAAAAAGATAAAATTTTTATGAATTTTTTTCTTCTTGTTATTGAGAATGAAATGCTGTCCATTCCGTAGAATTTATTCGTTTGTCATGTGTTGGTGGTTATGCGAACAACACACACACACACAGAAAAGATACAAAAGGAATTTGCGCGAAAATGAAAAACAAAACAAAACAACATACGCAAAATGCGCGCGCTATTTTTTTTCTAGTACGACAATAACAACAACAACAACAACATTGAACCGAAAAAATGTGAAAACATTTGGGAAAAATGTGTGTTAAATACATACCTTTTTTTAAAGTAAATAGCAAAAAATTATTATTATTATTTTTGTAATTTCAAAATGAAAATATCATATGTTAATTGGCATCCGTTGTATGCATGCGTTGTTGTTTGGATTGTTGGATGGATTGATGTTGCGATGAGAGATTTGAATCAATGTTGAAGTGATTGAATCAATAAAATAATCATTTTTTTCTCCTCAGCCATTTTGTTTGTTTGTTTGGTTGTTTTGTTTTTTTGGTTTTGGTGGTGGTGGTGATTCGATTGAATTGGATTTTTTGTTTTCGTCGATTGGATTTGCTAACGCTCACCTTAATAAACACACACAAAAATTATTTACACAACAAACACACACAGGGTGAGGAGAGGGAGAGAAAATCTTTGAGAAGAAGAAAATATTTTTTGGGAGAAAAAAAAAATAAAACCCGACAAACACTAAAATATTGTGACTAATATCATTCAATGGTTATGGTATGTGCAATTGATTGAAATGTATATACACGACGACGACGAAGAAGAAGAAGAAGAAATATTTCCGAAGTAAGAAATATGTGTTTGTCTGTTTCTGTATCGAGTGTATACATACATAGAAACGAAGAAGTTTGAAGACGATCATAACTGATGATTACAATTTAACCAAGACGACGACGATGATGGTGATGATGATCAAGTCGACGACGACGCCGTCGGCTTTATTATTTTGGCCAAAATGTTTATTGGTTGATTGGTTGGTTTGGTTTGGTTTAATTTGGTTAATGTTGTCTAACCAATCTAACAACCAGATATATAAAAAAATATAGAGATAGAAACAAGCTTTATAGCCAGTAAAAAACAACCAACAATAATAAACAAGATTAAAATCCAAACAACCGAAATCAATAATAACAATAATCTTTCTTTATTTTGATGATTGAAAAAAAAAATTAATCAATTTCGAATGAATTTCAACATTCGAATGTTTTCTTTCTTTTACAACATTCGAATTCGATATATCGATGATATTAACAATCGATTGTTGTTTATATCCGATTCCAAAGAATTTTTTTTTTATAAATCAAGTTGAATGTCTGATTATCTACGATGACTAATCAATGAATGTTTGTTTGTTTGTTGTTGAGACTAATTATCAATATTTTTTTCCAATTTATCAAATTGATTGATTGATTAATCGATTGATTTGTTGTTGTTGATTGTTGATTGTGTGTGTGTGAATCAGAAGCCGAAGAACGATCTTTCGATAATCAAAAGATCGTTGAACGATAATTTTTGTCAACAAAAAAAAAATCTAAATGAAATGAAATGAACGATGATCCTGAAATTTAAACAAACAAACAAAATCAAATGATCAAAACCATATTATGAAATGATTTTAATTGATCGTATGATTTATTGAAAAAAAATGAAATACGATATTCTTCGTTTGAAAATTGTTTATTATTTGATCAAGATTAAAAAATCTTTTTCTTGACATTGAAATCATCATCGGATGGATTGTTTTTTTTGATCGAAATTTGAGATTTTCTCCGGTTTGTTCTGGTTTTTATTTTTCGCAACCAGAAAACAACAACAACAAAAATTCAGAATTTTCAAACTTGAATATAATTAACACTGGGAAAAAAACTTTAAAAATCTTAAAGAAAAACTATGAATGAATGATACATGTCACAAGCAGATTCTCTCTCAACATTTATGTAATACGCGTCTTTTCTTCCATAAGTGTTGCCATGGTGAAAAACGTACAAAATATCTTCTTCGGGTAACTTCTTTTTCAAGGATAGACAAACAAACAAACAAAAATAAGTAAAAAAAAAGTCTAAATGAAAAATCATCATCATCATTATCAAGGCTATACCATAAGTCATTATAAAATGTTCACATAGAAAATTATTTTCCATTCCGGCATTCAAGAAAAAAAAAGTGAAAAGTGAAAAATGATTTGAATTTCTGTATATTAAGAATTTTTAATGTTTTGATCTTTGAACGATCATTTATTATTCTTGTCGTCTGTGTTTTTGTTTTGCTTGTATAGATTCTGTTGTTGTTGTTGATGATCTTTAAGAATCTCGAATAACAACAACAACAACAACAACAACAATTTAGCCAACATGCTAGGTTTTTTTTGCATAAGAATATTCTTTTATATATAGCCTGAACAGAATTCTCTCTCTCTCTTCCTTTTCCAGAATTTCTTCTCAGAATTTTCCCGGAACATTTTTTTGTCAATTTATTGCTTGCCTGCTTGTTTTTTTGGATTTGGAAAATGTTAGTAAATTAAAATCAACTGTTATTCGAAGGACAATGTTTATCAATGAATGAAAAAAACTTTTACAATCAATATTGATTACACGTAATGATAATGATCTAATTCAAATATTTATTCATTTTATATCGATCATTCATTGATTTTGATTGATTTGATTTGATTGATTTTCTCTTCGTTTTTTTCTGTTGAATATCTGAATTGGAAATTGATTTGGATTTTCCCTTCGTTCGTTCGATTGATCAAACACATTGATTAGAAATTCTTTTTTTGTTTTGTTTTGTTTATTGTACATTTGCCATAAAAACAAATTCATCATCATCATCATCATCATTGACAAGAATTTGAAATTCTTTAGCCCGATTCTTTCGGGAACTTTTTTCGCGAAAAAAAAGAAAAAGAAAAACTCAAAGAATTCCTGACTTTGTTTTGATTACAAACCGATTTGTGATTGATTTGTTTATGAAAACTTTAGCAAAAACTTGAAAAAAAAATTCAATGTCAAAATTTTAAAGTTTTTAAACAAAAAAATTTTTGTTTAAACAATAATTCGATTTATTATTTGTGATGGTTCAATTGTTGCTACTTGATCAACGGATGATCGTTCGATTGCTGGTTGATTATTTTGATCATTCTGCTGTTCGGATATTATTTCATTATAAGTAGGTGGTGGCAGCTGATCTATTGATGATTGATCACCGGCTTGATTCAATCTTGATCGTGGATAAGATGAAGATGAACTACGATAAACATAATGTATCGGTACACTATGTTTATCAACATCATCATAATCAGGTAGATTATCATTCAGATTATTTATTGAT